ATTTACTTTTTGGAGATAATCTTCTGGGTGGATATTTGCTGTATACACACCTTCTTAATTGATTGTCTTCTGTTGAGTAGGGGAGTATCATTATAATTTTCACCTTTATATCATCCTGATTATAAAAGTAATACAGGCCCACAATCCTATGTCCCTAACCCAGGGGCCAGATGCATTTTGTGAGCCAAATTTTTGGAGCTTTTAGATGCATTGTGTTTACACTGAATGTCAAATAATACATTAATACTTGTTCTTCAGAGAAATGTATAGATGGTTACACCACCTGAGAACATTAAAGACTTCATGTAAACTCAGAAGAATTCATATTTTGCTGTCAAATGAGCTTTGTGGATTTTGGAATTATAGGTAAGGAATTATTAATGGGACTTGTATATGCCTATGGTGGCAAATTTGGAAAAATACAGTGAAGTAATAAAAAGAAAGTAATCACATTAACAAGAAATCACTGCTGGAATGTTCATGTATGTTTTCTAATTCACTGAATTATTCAACAGTATCATCAATCCTCTATTGTATGTTCTAGGCCAGTGGTTTTCAAAGGGGAAATTTTGTCCCCCAGGAGGATTTAGTAATATTTGGAAACATTTTGGTTGTCACATTTAGGGCCCGGTGCTCTTGACATAGAGTTCAGGATGCTGTTAACATCCTGCAATGCATAGAACAGCCCTCAAGACAAAGAATTATCCAGCCCCGAATGTCAGTAGTACCATGGATAAGAAGATTAAGAAATCTTGGCCAGGCGTGGTGGCTCACGCCTGTAATCCCAGCACTTCGGGAGGTTGAGGCGGGTGGCTCATGAGGTCAAGATATCGAGACCATCCTGGCCAACATGGTGAAACCCTGTCTCTATTGAAAATGCAAAAATTAGCCAGGCGTGGTGGCACAGCTACTTGGGAGGCTGAAGTGGAAGAAACGCTTGAACCCAGGACGCGAAGGTTGCAGTGAGCCGAGATTGCGCCATTGCATTCCAGCCTGGCGACAGCAAGACTCCGTCTCAAAAAAAAAAAAAAAGAAATCTTGGCTATGCTTTGGACACACAGTAATGAAGAAAACAAAAGTTAATCAATCTATTTATTATACATTTATGCGATATATGTATATAATATATACACACACAGACAAAAGGGTTTTAAAATGTGATATTCCATATATAGTTTTTTTAACTTAACATTGCTTCATATTTTATAATATTATCAAAAACTCTTCAAACACATAATGTTTATGCCTATAGAATATTGCTTCAGAAAGAAAATTATTTTTAGCCATTTCTTTATATAAAAATGGATTTTTCCTCTTTATTTAAAATAATGCCGTGATGAACATCCTCATACTTACTTGGTTTATAACATCTCTGATTATTTCATCGGGTTCTCAGGCTAATCAGTTCATTCTAGAGGTAGGATCATTGAGTCAAAGGATAAAACTTTAAAACATCCTTAGCGTACATGATAAACTTGCTTTGCAGAAAGGTTGTTTGCACATTTAAAAATCAGAGACTTATGGTACCAAATAAACATAGCCAGTTCAAGCTATGAATAACACATCCAGAAAATTCAGGTGACTGGAAGGAGCCTTCAGAAAGAGAATAGCCTGCTGGCTTTTGTCAGTTGGTCATTTGGTCCTGGATGGTCTGAGTATGTTTCCTCTCAGTCAGGCTATTGGTACACATTGTATTGTAATCACCCCAGTATGCATACAGATTGGACACAGTTCAAGGACTGGGCAATAAAACATAATTAAGAAGTGACTAACTTGTGGGAAAAGATGAAAAGAGCTCAGACTATGAAAGCCATGTGGCAGAAAACCCTGGGAGGAGGTGATCACCATTTCCAAGCATGGAAATTCCAGAAATAAAAGGCTAGAAGAGGAACTTCTTTGGAGATGATTTAAAAGGTAATGGCATATATTTGAACAATGAGGATTCCAGACTGAAATCTCAAGAGGAAGCTTCCTTGTTGTGGCTCGCAACAGGAATAATCCGTTGAGGAAATGATAGAATTCCTTTTAAAGTGTCAATAGGTGAAACAGCAAGAGGAATGCGGGCCAATCAGATAACATGAATTTGTCCTCCAGCAAATGCTGCATGGGAGCTCAGTAGAATGAATAAGATTCTCCCAGACCCAGGGTGAGGGAGCAGAGTCTCTACTGTAGGGGGCAGTTGAATGGAGAACCTTGATTTGGAGGGAAGAAAATTCCCGGTTTTTCTTTTGCTGAGGCTGAAGAACAGAAGCTCATCAAGTAGAGGAGGGTTGGCTACCACTGTAGCCATAAAAAGGGAGTGGTAGTCAAGATTTTCAGCTTTGCAGGCTCTCCAGGCTCTGTGTCAGCCATTCACCTCTGCCTTCATAGACCGAACACAGTCATAGACATAGGGGCTGGGGCTGTGGCTGTGGCTGTGCGTGTGTGCGTGTGTGTGTGTGTGTGTGTGTGTTTTAAGACAGAGTTTTGCTCTTGTTGCCCAGGCTGGAGTGCAGTGGCGCAATCTCAGCTCTGGGTTCAATCCTCAGCAATCTCACTGCAACCTCTGCCTCGTGGGTTCAAGAGATTCTCCTGCCTCAGTCTCCTGAGTAGCTGGGATTACAGACGCATGCCACCATGCCCAGCTAATTTTTTATATTTTTAGTAGAGATGGGGTTTCACCATGTTGGTGAGGCTGGTCTCGAACTCCTGACCTCATGATCCACCCGCCTCAGCCTCCCAAGGTGCTGGGATTACGGGCATGAGCCACCGAGCTGGCCTCACTGTGTTTTAGTAAGACTTTATTTGCACAAACAGGCAGTGCCTAGGGAGCATGGTTTGCTGACAGCTGATCTCAAGACATGGGAAAGACGCCCTGTAAAAGAGCAAGGAAATTTAAAGAGAAATGGGTTCAAGTACCATTTCTATACTTAATGGCTAGTTAATTAATCTTTTTGAACACCTGGGGTTTTTTTTGGTCCATGAAAAGGGTTAATTGCAGTGCCTCCTTCATGGATTTGTTTTCAGAATCAAATGGAACAAGGCCTGAATAATGTTTATCATAGGCGTGGGTACACAGAAGTACTAAAATAAGAGAAAGATGAAAAAGAACGCATGTTTTGTTATAATTCTTACTCTATTCTATTGGGTTTGTGTAACTGTTTCCTTCACTAGAATGAGCTCCTGGGGTTCAAAGATCCCACTTAGTTAACACACATCTCCAGTGCTTGTCATGGTGGCACATGGTGGGTGGTGTCTTGGGTGTGAAAGCAGCCTAGAGATGGGGGTTTAGGGGCAGTGGTTTAGGGAGGGAAGGCTGCCAGGGGAATGGGAACCAAGGAAGCAGGACAAGGTAGGAAAAGAAGCAAAGCAGAGGTTTTTGTCAACTGGAGTCTAGCTTCAGCCTGATGCCTTGGGGATATACATTGCCCATATCGGGAGCAGATACTGCACCCCAGCATTAGCTCCTGTTGAAGCAAAAGACCGGCCTTTCATGCCCTGGAACAGTCAGTTACTGGCCATGGGCTGGCCTCTTTAAGAGTGAGGAGATAATCTCCCAGGTGAATTGGCTTCTGGTCTGCTGAATGAAAGCAGCTGGGAGCTGTTAGCTCTGCCAGTGGGTTGGGGGATGGGAGAGGGAGGCATGACAGCTTCTCTGCAGTGCCCAATTATTGCTTGTCCCGTAAAAGCCTATGTGTTCTGAGGTTATGCTCTAAATCACCCATGAAACACAGCTGGTTTATAGGAAAATGGAGAAGGGCAGAGCTCGGGTGACTAAGTCATCACCTGTCACTCCAAAGATAAATTGTTTAGCTTAGAGGCTGAGCCCAGAGATGGTGAGGAACTTGACTCAAGGACGGTGATATTCTGTCTTTGCAGGGACAGGAAGTGGCTTCTTTTTCAGTGGCCTGTGGGTGTTTCCTTTGCCTGGAGGAGTGTGTGGCATCATCCAGACTGAGTGTTGCTGAAATCCCTCACCGTCCTTGACACAGTGGCAATAACGCCACAGTAACATCTGCCTGGGTTCTGGCATCTAGCAAGAGTGGGATCGAATCCCAGCTCTGCCACTTTAGCCATATAACCTTGAGCCAATGACTTAGCAAATATAAGCCTCAGTTTCCATGTCTGTAAAATGGGGACAGCAATATTTCCCAATTCTTAGGGCTTTTGTGAGGATTAGAGTTAATGCGTATAAAATGTTTAGTATGATGGCTGGCACCTAATTAAAGTTCAATGTCAATACATGGTTATTTTATTTACTTTCTTTGTTATGATGGTGTATTTATTTATTTATAGAAATGGTGGTGTTCAGGTAATGTTTCCCAATTGTCATTTGCATATTACTTTGGACTTTTGCCATATCTGTTGCCACCTGTACCATTATTTATTTAACATACATTAATTGACTCTTGAAAATAAAACTTACATATGATAAACTTGCCAATAAGACCAGGGCAATAAGGGGTTTGAATGGGCTAGTGCTTGGTCTATGGTAAATATGCTATGAATGAGAGCTACTATTATCATCAGCATTGACATTAAATGACTCTTAGCTTTGTGTTCTATCTCACTTCATTTCTTCCTTTTAGAATCAAGTTGCCTGCATTCTCTGCACTGGATGAGGTCACGTTTTACTCCTGCCTGAGCTAACCGAAGCATTCTTAAAGTGGCTTGCTTGGCTAAGAATTTCATGCATAATATCAGGGGATTTTTTTTTCGCTGTTAAATAACCTGGGCTGTGACAGATTACAAGGAAGTTGTTACTCAGAGCTAAAGGCTGAAAACGGATTGTAGGGAGCAGTGGAAATTCCCCTTCCTTGCCTAAAATAATTGGAGCTGGAACACGACAATATGAGCTTTGTCCAGGCTTGAAACAATATCCTTTCCAAGTGAATTTTGTACGGAAATACTTAGCAATATATAGTGGTAGTTCTCACTGACAGGCTAGAAAAAACGTTAGTCATTCCCGGTAGTCCGTAGCTAAAAGGGCCATTGTTAGGGACAACGCGCCCCCCCCCCCCCCCCCCCCGACAGGAGTGAAATCTAAGCGTGTGGACATAGTAATATTGGACTTACCTGACTTCTCCCTGCCCTTTCTTCCATCTGCTTCCTTTACTATCAAAAGAATCTAATTCCGGAAATAGGCATGCTCTCCATTTGTTTGATTATTTTTATTGCAAGTATGTTCGTGACACCCTTCCCCGGAACACTCTCGACCAGGTCCTGAGGAAATGGGAGAAGGAAATGCCCAGGTCCTTATAGTAGACGCGAGTTCAGAGTAGCTGACTCAGATGAACGTCAGTGAGTTCAAATTCCAAAGCAGTTTTTAATCCCATGCCTTGAGCTGGGTCAGGAGGTTGATAATTAGCAAGGACATGTGTCCAGCCCTCGCAGACTCAGGATGTAAAGATCTGGAGATTTTGTTTGAATGAATATTCCAACGCTAAAACGTTATTCTATTACAGTTAAAAAAAAAAACTGGGCAAGATCTTATGAAATGCTTCACTCTTTTTTTTTAAATAAAAATTTATTATTAAAAATAATTTAAGGCTAAGAGAAGGGGGGCCAGGAATAAAAGTGGGAAGTTGTCAATGAGCTTTTTTTGTTATTATAAGCTCCAAGAAATTCTGTTAATGCTGGTCATATTAGCTAGTGTGAAGATTTTCTCAAGGCCTGAAATCTACGGCATGCAATTTACGAAGCTGCGGCACCAGTGCCAGGGAACATTCCTCTGTAAAGGAAGAAGGAGGCGGAATGTGATGGTTATTTTGATTTGCCTTTCCTGGCTGAGGTCTCTGAAATCACTCTCAACACAACAGGACTCCTCCTTTGGGGAGGGTCTCCCTCTCCCACCAACCTTGCAGGTTCAGGAGGGGATACTGGGGGCAGGAATTTGCTCCACCCACTAAATGAGACCAGATGATGCTGGCATTTAGTGGAGTGACAGGTGGGGCTTCAGAGCTCACTCAAGCCGTTCCTTGCTTTTCCCTCTTCTGTCCCTCTCGTTAGTGCAGAGAAATCGCGTCTTTAAGCTTCTTGAATGGATGTGATTCCAACTCTGCCATCCCAAGCGTGGCGGGGGTAACAGTAGGAGTGAGAGGGAAATACCAATATTAGTGGGGCCTGCCAGTTTCTACATGTGCAGGTCCCAGAGGAAGCTTGAGCTGGGAGGGTGTGGGGTGCCTGCTCTTCCCTTAGGAAGGGAGTGTCCTCCTCCTCCCGAGTAAGTGCAATTTACAAAGGCATATGTTTTTCTTATACTGTACCATGGCACCTAAATGCAAGCCAACTTTACATCTATTAGAGTATTCAAAGAAGTGGTCATCTCTATACTCCACAGTGCCCTTATGCGGATGCCTAAAGAGACTTGAAAAGAATCCTCACGGCAGCAATGGGTGGACACAGTGATCAAGTGCATATGTATAAAATGGCCAAAAGGAGAATTGGTTCTGGCTGGGTATGTGTTCCAAGTATAGTCAGAGGGATTCTGTCTGGGACTTTTGTGAGAGCTATTGGAAAAAAGGTGTGTGTGTGTGTGTGTGTGTGTGTGTGTATGTGTCTTTTGGTTTCTTTTGGACTCACCAGCTGTGGGGATCATCTAGGCCTGAAGCTACAGACGATCGCTTTGCCATTCACATGGAGACAGCCTGCCTGAAAGTAATGGCAATATAGAGGAAGGGAGATCCAAGAAATAGAGAATGGCACACTCCGGATAACCCTTCTTGCCACCTGAATCCAGCTGTGCCTGAAGTCAGCAGTAAACTTGGATGCTTCAGTTACAAAAAGTGGTAGGTTCCCTTTCATTCTTAAACAAGATTGAGTTATGTCGTTGTCAAGTGCAACTAAAGCATTCTTGGCTATTTTATCCTCCTCCTTTTGATCTGAATTCTAAACGTACAGGTAAATACTTACTTTGGTTAGAGACTGAACTTTGCAGAAGAGAAAACTCATTATTCCAAGGACCAAGAGTTTAGGCTCATTTGTGCGCCAGGCTGGACTTTTATTTTGAGGAATTGGCCTGCTTTCATCACAGAAAATTTGTTTAAGCTATTCCAATTGTAATTGAATAGTTATTTATGGCATAAGTTGGAATCTGCCAATGCCCTCAAATGTTGATATCTGTGATGAGTGCAAACAATTTTTTTAACAATCACTTTTCATAACAGAGGTACAGACTCAGCCCCTGAGTCACCCGTTGGCTAACAGTTCTTTCTCCCATTTGTGATGGCCATTCACACATCTGAGTTTTTGATAAACATACACTCCCAAATATCTGTCCTTAATGAGACTCTATGTTATGCTCTGGCATGTGGGATGTTGCCCCATAATCCTGTGGCCCCGGTACAGCCAGGTACATACTTCCTGTGGCTTCCCACTGAGTGAGTGCTGATTTCACCATCGGAGGTTTCAGCCTTTGACTTGTTTTTCTTGTAGATATAATGCTTCATGCCAAGTCATCCACCGAACACCGTGCAACCAGGGACAGGCTGAGTCGTCTAGAGATGCGAAAGGAAAATTTTGTAAGCTGGTTGCGTAATCATCGTTCCTTGTTAGTGCTAGTACCTAAGAGGACTGTCTTCCTTTTCTAGCTTTCCAGAGAGCTGTGTGCCCTCAGGAAGCAAGTCCAGTAGGGATCTATCCCCAAGAATATGGACATTAAACCGGTGCAGGGCCCAGAACCACACAGAAGCTGGGAGAGACACAGCTGCGCCCATTCAGTGAGGCATCTGGCATTTCAAGACATAAAGATGAAGAGATGCCAAAATAGGGGTTACCTAAATTTATGAAATATTTTTCTTTCTTTCTTTTTTTTTTTTTTTTCAGAGACAGGGTCTCATTCTGTCACCCCAGCTGGAGTGTAGTGGTTGCATCATGGCTCACTGCAACCTTGACCTCCCAGGCTCAAGTGATCTTCCCACCTCAGCCTCCTGAGTAGCTGGGAACTATAGGCAGGTCCCACCATGCCTGGCTAATTTTTTTTTTTTAAATATTTTGTAGAGACAGGGTCTCCTTATGTTGCCCGGGCTGGTCTTGAACTCCTGGTTTCAAGTGGTACTCCAGGCTTGGCCCCCCAAAGTGCTGGGATTACAGGCATAAGTCACCACTGGTCTCCTTGGAATATTTTCAGTGTTATATTGAACAGAATAAAAGCTAGAATACACAAACAAAATTACTGTTCATTGCAAGGACATCATGCTGTATACAAGACTATGAAGTTAATAAACATATTATCTTAGAATGAGCTAGAGGCAGCATGATCTGTGGATGGGTACATAAGTGTAAAATTGTCCTATTATGAATGCATTCCTATGAGTTCATGCAATCTTTCTGGAGATGACATCAAAAGTCAATATGAGGCCAAGGCCACATGTCCCTTGGCTCTTCACAGCCAACCCTACAGATGACATTAAGTTAATAAAAAAACTAAGATTTTTTTTTTTTTGAGTTTTGCTCTTGTTGCCCAGGCTGGAGTGCCGTGGCACTATCTCTGATCACTGTGACCTCTGCCTCCTGAGTTCAAGCGATTCTCCTGCCTCAGCCTCCTGAGTAGCTGGGATTACAGGCACGTGCCACCACATCTGGCTATTTTGTTGTATTTTTAGTAGAGATGGGGTTTTACCATGTTGGTTAGGGTGGTCTCAAATTCCTGACCTCAGGTGATCTGCCTGCGTCAGCCTCCTAAAGTGCTGGGATTACTGGCATGAGCCACCGCGTCCGGCCAAAAAAAATTAAGATTTAAAAACATGATTAGGTTGTGTCTTGTGCTTCCTGCCTCAGTTGGCCTGGAAGAGAAGGGCAGTGTGGTGTAACGGAACGAATGCTAACGTGATGGGGACCCAAGGGAATTCAATGTTTGCTCTGTGGCTTTGCCTCAACCAGTTGTGAGAGCACGGGGGAAATCACTTACTATCTTCGGATTTCCCCATCTATAAAGATGTAAGTGTTGGACGATGGCCTTGTAAGTTTCTTCTAAAACTTTGTGATCACATCAGTTCCGTGTGAACGGTCTAGGTACTAGGTATAAAGTGGTGAGAAAAATCACCTTACGCAGATGATTCCTGAGCACAGGGAATGAGGTAGGTGGTGAAGACAGAGAGGTGAGAGGATAAAGGGGGTGGGGTTTATGTGTATGTTGATAATAAGCAAAAATACCCACTCTACAATGTTAGAGGGGGCAAATGCAATGAAGAGCAATGAGCAAGGAAGGAGCTAGGAAGTGGTCAGGAAGGCCTCTCTGGCCATCAGTGCTTCCCAAATGATTGGATATTTTTTTAAAAAGACACTAATAAAGGATGTGCTATAGAGCGGGTGGAGAACTCAGTGGGTAGGAGAGCCACTGAAGAATCTACTAGATAAAGGAAATGACTCCCTGATGAGTGAAGAGTCAGAAAGGGGAAACGAGGTCGGCGCACTGCCTCAGTGACTGTAATTCCAGCACTTTGATAGGCAGAGTTGGGAGGAGCACTTGAGTCCAGGAGTTTGAGACTGGCCTGGGCAACATTAGTGAGACCCTGTCGCTACAAACAATCAAAAATTAGCCAGGTGTGTGGCGTGCATGCCTGTGGTTCCAGCTATTCGAGAGGCTGGGGCAGGAGGATCACTTGAGCCCAGGAGGTCAAGGCTTCAGTGAGCCATGATCATGCCACTGCAGAGGGAGATCCTATCAAAAAAAAAAAAAAAACCCAACAACAAAACAAAACACGAAAGGGGAAAGAAGAACTGTGTTAGATTCCAGTAGCACTTGTGAGATGCCATCAGGCTGGCCTGGATTTGAATCCCACTAGAGTTAGAGTTGGGATTCAAATCCCACCTCTAGCGACCTCAAGTCCCACCACCTCCCTGATCCTGAATCTGCATTTGTAAAAGGAGAATAAAAGGAAGCTTTAGCCGGGTGCGGTGGCTTACCCCTGTAATCCCACCACTTTGGGAGGCCGTGGTGGGTGAATCATAAGGTCAGGAGTTAGAGAACAGCCTGACCAACATGATAAAAACCCGTCTCTACTAAAAATACAAAAATTAGCTGGGCCTGGTGGTGTGCGCCTATAATCCCAGCTACTCAGGAGACGGAGGCAGGAGAATCGCTTGAACCCGGGAGGTGGAGGTTGCAGGGAGCTGAGATCATGCCATTGCACTCCAGCCTGAGTGACAGAGCAAGACTCTGTCTCAAAAAAAAAAAAAAAAAAAAAAAAGAGGAAGCTTCAGATGTCTCTAAAGAGCTTAGAACAGAAGGACACATGAATAAACGCCCAATATTAGAATAAATGCTATTATTAGAAATTGCTCATACTGAGGATCAACTAAGCTGTACTTAATCATACTTTCTATGTAACTTCCTTTCACCCTCCCCCAAACAAGCTATGACCCCATTTTATGGATGAGGTAAGTGACTGAGTCAAATGATCCCGACGGGTTCAAGACTGAAGGAAGTGGTGGGGTCAAGGCATGAATGTTGGTCATCATTAGTACTTGTCCTCCAGCAGCGCCAGGGGAGGTTATAATGACCCAACTGCTTAACAAGAATGTCAGCCCAGACCAGCATCAGCTGCAGAGTGGCTGGGCTTTTCCGGCAGTAGACAGTGAAGAAATATCATATTTGACAGAAAAACATTCCGTTGTCATTCAACATGAACGTGTTTTATAGACATGTAATTTACATACATCACAATGTACCAATGCTGTCTTGTTTTAAATTTGCCTTTTCTCGAATTTCATATAAATGGAATCATATATTTCTTTCCGGAACATGTTTTTGAGATTCATCCCTGTCCTTGAGTATATTAATAATTCCTTCCCTTACCAATTGATGGACCACAATTTGTTATTTATTTACCAGATGATGGACAGTTGGGCTCTTTCTAGTTGTTGGCTATGAAAAAAGCTGCTGTAAATATTTATGTACAAGTTTTTGTGTAGATGTACATTTTTATTTTTCCTAGGTAATACCTGGGATTGAGTTTAATTAAGACTTACCGTAAATCTACAATCACCAGGACAGTGTGTTATTGGCATAAGATTATATATAGAAATATATTAAGAATATTAGATATATTAAGAATTAATATTGGATATATTAAGAATTCTTAATAATGGTACATAAAGAGATATACCCACAAAAATATGATAAATTGGTTTTGTATAAAGGTACCAAATTTATTTCATAGGAAAATGGTTGTCTTTTCAACAAGTGATACTTGAATAATTGGAAATCAGTATGCAAAAATTATGAATGTCCACCATTACCTATGGCCTACAACAAAGATTAATTTGAAATGGATCATAGAGTTAACATACCTAACCATAAAAGATAAACACATAAACCCTTAGAAGAAACTATAGGAAAAAAAGTCTTTGTGACTTGGATTAAGTAAATATTTCTTAGGACACAAAATCCCCAGTCATAAAGGAAAACAATGGATAAATTGGTCTCCTGAAAATTAAAACCTTTTGATCTTCAAAGTTAACTATTAGGAAAATGAGAAGGCAAGCCACAGTCTGGGGAAATATTTACAAAGCCTATAAATAATAAAAGGTTTAATATGGAATATGTACATGTGAAGAACTTCTTCTAACTCAATAAAACAATTTTATTTTTATTTTTATTTTTTTAGATGGAGTCTTGCTGTGTCACTTGGGCTGGAGTACAGTGGCACGATCTCGGCTCACTGCAACCTCTGCCTCCCGGGTAAGTGGTTCTCCTGCCTCAGCCTGATGGGTAGCCAGGACTACCTGCACGCGCCACTGCGCCCAGCTAATTTTTGTATTTTGAGTAGAGACAGGGTTTCACCATGTTGGCCAGGCTGGTCTCAAACTCCTGACCTTGTGATCTGCCTGCCTTGGTCTCCCAAAGTCCTGGTATGACAGGCGTGAGCCACTGCACCTGGCCCAAAATAATTTTTGTGATGGGCAAAATACTGGAACAGACACCTCCACCCAAAAGAGAAATTAGAATATCAAATAAGCATATACACAGATGCTCAACACCATTAGTCATTAGGGAATCAAATTAAAACCCACAGTGAGATATTTTCACACTCCCACTAGAATTGCTAAAATTTAAACGATTGATAATCCCAGATGTTTGCAAGGATGTGGAACAATTGGGACTTCTGGGAAGGCAAAATGGCGCGGCCACTTTGACAAACACTTTGGTGTCTCTTGTGAAGTAAAACATAGACTTTTAGCATATGACCAATTGTTGGAGTATCACTTGTTGAAAAGACTACCATTTTCCTATGAAATAAACTTGGTACCTTCATACAGAACAATTGATCATATTATTGTGGGTATATTTCTTTCTGTTCCATTGATTTCTATATATAATCTTATGCCAACAACACACTGTCCTAGTTATTGTAGATTTATGGTAAGTCTTAATTAAACTCAATTAGTTGAAGGCTTCCAATTTTGTTCTTTCCAACGTCCATTTACGGAATGCCAACATGAATACAGCTCTGCCCATTTGTTCAGCGATTCATTCAGAGCATCTGTTACATGCCAGGTTTGGATTTGCATGCTGGGATTCAGGTGTTTGGATTTACATGTTGGCATACATTTATAATATGAATCCCCAGCTGGGCACAGTGGTTCACGCCAGTAATTCCGGCACTTTGGGAGGTCGAGGCAGGTGGATCACTTGAGGTCAGGAGCTCAAGACCAGCCTGACCAACATGGTGAAACCCAGTCTCTGCTAAAAATACAAAAAATAGTGGGGTATGGTGATAGGCACCTGTAGTCCCAGCTACCTGGGAGCTGAGGCAGAAGAATCTCTTGCACCTGGGAGGTGGAGGTTGCAGTGAGCTGAGATCTCACCACTGCACTCCAGCCTGGGCCACAGAGTGAGACTCCATGTCAAAAAAAAAAAAAAAATCCCTGCCCTTATAGAGTTTGCAATCTATTGGGGGCTGGGGGAAGGAGGCAGTGGAAAAAGTAATCAGAAATATATATATTGTTATTTGTCAGATATATACTCTGTGTGTGATTGTGTGTGTATGTGTGTATGTGTGTAGTGACTAGTAGCAAGTTCTGTGAAAAGAAATCAAGCAAAGAAAGGAGCAGGAGGGTGTTCTTGGAAGGACTGTGAGCTGGTGAGACTTGAGTATGAACCATATGTATGGGGTTAGGGGTGTGCTGTGGAACACACAATGGGAACAGCGCTCCAGGCAGGGAGAAATGGTGCCCAGAGCCTACGCACAGTGGGAAATGTTCAGGTGAGGTTTCTGCCCTCAAGGAATCTAAATTTGCGTGGAGGAAATAATCCAAGTTTTAAAAAGTTCCTTTTAGCGGTCGTGTCTATGAGCAAAATAAAGAGCTGGATGACAGTTAAGACTTATATGATTCAAAGGCAGTTATGCAAAGGCCTGGGGAAGAGCTTTCCAGGAGAGGGAACAGCAGGTGCACAAGCCCCGAGGTAAGAAAGGGAAAGTCCAAGACCAGGAGGCAGGCTGATACGGAAGAATCTTCTCCAGGAAGTCCAAAGGATGACCCGAGACTAGACTTGAAGCAGGACCTTGTGAGCCCAGGTCAAGATTTAAATTCTACTCTAAGGGGCAATGGATACCATGGGCTGTGGGTTACATAATCAATTCTACTATATGACTGCTTCATTGTAACTTACTGGCAAGGGTGAGTGCTTGGCCTGTATTTCAGAAATTTCTAGAGTCCTGAGAAACTGCTGGGGGTGACTGTGTCATCTGGCAACTTCCTGTGAGCCCCCTAATCTGGGGGAAATTTATGAAAATGCTCAGGGATAGATGTACTTCACATTTTGACTGTTGAACTGCCCTGTATGCAAATAGGAACTGTATTAGAATGAAGAATGAGTTTTGATAGATGGGGTGTGTGTCTGTGTGTGTGTGTGTTTACAATTCTTAATCTTGATGAGTCATGAAGTGTATTTCCACACTTCAACTAAATGAATCTTCTGTTTATTGTTTATAGTATTTCTCTGTCCACAGCTTTTAAAACACCTTTTATTTGAAAATAAGTTCAGGCTGGGCACAGTGGCTCATGCCTATAATCCCAGCACTTTAGGAGGCTGAGACGGGTGGGTCACTTGAGGTCAGGAGTTTGAGATCTGGCCAACATGGAGAAACCCTGTCTCTACTTAAAAAAATACGAAAATTAGCCGGGCATCGTAGTGCATGACTGAAATCCCGGATACCCTGGAGGCTGAAGTATGAGAATCGCTCGAACCCGGGAGGCGGAGGTTGCAGTGAGCTGAGGTCACACCACTGCACTCCAGCCTGGGTGAAAGAGTGAGATTCTGTCTCAAAAAAACAAGACAAACAAAACAAAAAAATCACACACACACACACACACACACACACACACACACACACAGAAAGAAAATAGTGCAAACATCAAAAAAGTTACAAATATAGAACTAGTATAAAACTACCTGTATTGCTTTTATTTATCTGTTAATATCTTAATATCTATCTGCATAATTGTTTGTGCAGTCCTGTGACCCAGAACATTCTCACAGCTTTTTTTTGTCTGTTATGATATTAGCATTTTCAAAGACTACACCTTTCTCCTGTTATGAGGGAATGTTCCCCATTTTCAGTTTGTCTGATGTATCTTCATGATTAGGTGTAGGTTATGCATTCTTTGCTGAAATGTGGGGCATAGAGGATGTTGTATCCTCCTCAGGATATCACATCTGGAGGCAGGTGATGTCTATCTGTTCATCATTGGTGGCATTAAATACCTCTAATGCTTCATCCAATGTTTGTGGATGAGACAAGGAGGGGGAGGGGAGGAAGATATTTGAAAACACAAGATGCCATGACTCGACATTAGTTAAGCTCTTGAGTCATCTGTGCTGCTGAATTAACCACCAACACCAGGCACATGTGGGCATGCACACGAGCACACATGCACATGTTACACACACAGCTCAGTTCTATTTTGCATTTTTAAAGCTATCACCAAAGTCCTGTTTTAACATTGAGGACATTGGAAGAAATAACTTCGGGAGATTTTCAAATTCCACATTAAGGCTTCACATGTAATTAGTACTTCCTAATACTTCCTTAGGTCTTATAGGATTTGGTGCTATGGGTAAGAAGTCTGTGGGTACCAGCCAAGCAAATGCATTAGCTTAGAACAGTAGTTTTCAGCCCTGGCAGTTCATGAAATTCTCCTGGGTGGATTTAACACCCGATGCTGTGGAGACCCCCACCCCAGATCAGAACCTCTGAATTTGGGACACAGATGGGGGTGTTTAGAAGAAGCTCTCCAAGAACTTCTGATATCCTGCCAAGGTAAAGAACCACCAGCTGAAAGGTGTGATTCTGGAGCTTCAGGGATCCCCAAATATTCCTTGCCCTCTGGTCAGGGGCTCCCTTTAAAAGATAACATAGATTGAGGACTTACTGTGTACCAGGCCACATGTCGTGGGCATCCATAGATTTTGTATTCACACATTTATTTCCCTTCATTGTGTAAAAGCTCCCTAATTTTCCTTTGGCTAACTACCACCCTCACTTTCAGCTCATGTGCTTTTTAGGGCGCCAACTATTCGCTCTGACTTCAGGGATGAACATTGATTCCCTGCTTGGCAAACTGATCAGTTCATAAATGATCTAAGTGATCAAATGAGACTTGAGCCCCGGACTTTCATTGAAATTATTGATCAAGAGGCTGGATGCAGCAGCTCACGCCTGGGATCCCAGCACTTTGGGAGGCCAAGGCAGGCAGGTTGCTTGAGTTCGAGACCAGCCTGGGCAACATAACAAAACCCTTTCTCTACACACACACACACACACACACACACACGCAGACACACACACACACACACACACTTGGCCGGACACAGTGGTTAATGCCTGTAATTTCAGCACTTTTGGAGGCTGAGGCGGGCAGATCTTATGAGGTCAGGAGTTCAAGACCAACTTGCCAACATGGTGAAACCCCGTCTCTATTAAAAATGCAAAAATTAGCCGGGCCTGGTGGTGGGTGCCTGTAATCCCAGCTACTTGGGAGGCTTGAGACAGGA